AGAGAGAGAGAGAGAGAGAGAGAGAGAGAGAGAGAGAGAGAGAGAGAGAGAGAGAGAGACAGAGACAGAGACAGAGAGTTATAGGTAGGTAGATAAGAAACTTTCCGTTCCCTGTTGATTCTAAAATGTTTCTTCGACGATCTGCACTGACTACAATCTTTTGTCAAGCCAGGGAATTCGCTTTTCGCATACCAATATTATTCGAGAAAGAATCACACCACACACTGCGGCTGGCAAAGAGGGTATTCATTGTTAAGTATTTCTAGTATATGCCACAATGCATCACAGAAGAATAAGAGACGCAGAACTCACTTTTGATACTACATTTTTTCCGTCCATTTTTCTTAAATTGATGTAGTTCTTCCGGCCAAGACAGGCGGATGTAGATACTGCAATTTTTGCCCTCCCATTATCCGTAATATCAAAATGTTACAGCTGTAAATCACTGAAGTAATTCCGTATTCTGGTACAGATGCCGCCGATCTCAGCAGGGAGAATATTTATCTTAATATGAGATTTTTTTTGACAGCGAGTTTCGGAAAGAAGTGTCTATGTTTTCGTATGTATTTCTACTGTACACGTGGCGCTTTTATTTCATATTTGTTTGTAATAGAAATAATGTAATTTGATTTTAGGTTTACCTCAATATGATTTGTTTTACGGAGAATGAGGTATGAGATTAATCTATAATATTGTTAAGCAAGGGGAGGGACTTTTCTTGAAGTCGATTTATGGTATATGGTATAAGTGGGTTATTATTAGGTTGCTTTGTTAGGTACCAGGCATCTATCATCATGACGCGAAACAGGAGAACCTTTTGGAAAGCTACCATAGAACCCCAGCACAAGTATGAAACAAAACTACAGTTAGACCTTTTTCTCTCATACGATACGTATTTAATAATAACAAGTACCACAGCGCACAGTTACACCATTGGCAGCACAGCAGAGCGTATGGTAGAATTGACTCAGTGGCGAGGTAAGTATCGTGGCAGAGTGGGCAGTGGGGAGTGGAAGTGGTGTGTTGTGGGCCCGGAAGTGGACGTTCCAGAGGCGCTGGTTGACCGCCTCTGCCTCGGACGCGCTGCCGGGTACCCGCTATTCTGTGCCGCACTCGACGTCTCTGCCTCGCTCTGGCTCTCCGTCCCTGCGCCACGGCCTCTTCCTCCTTCTCGCCTTCTTCTTCCTCTTCTCTTTCTTCTTTTTATTATTATTATCATTATTCTACTTCTTCTTCTTCTTTTCCTTCTTCTTTTACTCCTTCTCCTTCTTCTTCTTTTCTTTCACTCCTTCTCCTTCTTCTTCATCTTCTTTTTTCTTTTTCTTTTACTCCTTCTCCTCCTCCTCTCCTACTTCTTCTTCTCCTTCTTCTTCTTCTTCTTCTTCTTCTTCTTCTTCTTCTTCTTCTTCTCCTTCTTCTTCTTCTTCTTCTTCCTCCTCTTCCTCCCCTTCTCCTTCTTCTTCATCTTCTTCTTTTTCTTTTACTCCTTCTTCTTCTTCTTCTTCTTCTTCTTCTTCTTCTTCTTCTTCTTCTTCCTCTTCTTCTTCTTCTTCTTCTTCTTCTTCTCCTTCCTCTTCTTCCTCCTCCTCTTCCTCTTCTTCTTCTTCTTCTTCTTCTTCTTCTTCTTCTTCTTCTTCTTCTTCTTCTTCTTCTTCCTCCTCCTCCTCCTCTTCCTCCTCCTCCTTCTCCTCCTCCTCCTTCTCCTTCTCCTTCTCCTCCTCCTCCTCCTCCTCCTTCTCCTCCTCCTCCTCCTCCTCCTCCTCCTCCTCCTCCTCCTCCTCCTCCTCCTCCTCCTCCTCCTCCTCCTCCTCCTCCTCCTCCTCCTCCTTCTCCTTCTCCTCCTCCTTCTCCTCCTCCTTCTCCTTCTCCTCCTCCTTCTCCTTCTCCTCCTCCTTCTCCTTCTCCTCCTCCTTCTCCTTCTCCTCCTCCTTCTCCTTCTCCTCCTCCTTCTCCTTCTCCTCCTCCTTCTCCTCCTCCTCCTCCTGCCTCCTGCCTCCTCCTCCTCCTGCCTCCTGCCTCCTCCTCCTCCTGCTCCTCCTCCGTTTTCGTTTTAATTCCGTGCTGTTCGAATGCGGGATTTAATATATTCCTCATTCTATTTGTCTTTTCGCAGATATTTTAAATAGTATTCAAGAGAAGTAATATATATATATATATATATATATATATATATATATATATATATATATATATAATCGTATTTTTGTTCACAGATTTATTTTCTTTTCCTTTTTTTAGTCAAGAGAAGTAAAATAAGTATAGACGTAAAATGAAGTACACTAATTCATTTTTAATAATCACTTCACCACTTGATAACGATTCCATTTTTAAAAAATATTTTACCTTTCAGTGCAACATAATATAAAGAAAGATGCTATTGCGATCGAGTTTTAAAAAGTTTCTACCCAATAATTGCCTGCGACTCAAGCGAGCGGAGTTAGTCGGTTCGGTCAGTTATGAACGAGACTTCCAAATGCGTCATTTATTTCAGCGAGAATTCATTTGTTTTTTTGTTTTGTTTTTGTTTTGTGTGTTTTTTTTTAGATATTCTTTATATATATTGATTTATTATTGTTATTAGTATTTTGGGATTTTCGAATTTGTCAATGATTTGATTGCGAAATACAGTTACTGCGTGGGAATAACAATAAATAGTAGAAAATTTCACTGATATTTCATATAATTACAGCCTGGATGAGCCTTAAATATTTCGATAAGGAATAACTGTTCCCAAGTTTCAGTAAAACTTTAATACGGAGAATGCTGACGGGAACATGGGTCACCTGAAGATATTACTAAAGACAAACAAAATACAAGTCAAAACCTAATAACTTCAAAACAATTAGGAATATTTATAATAAATAAAATCAAATCAATTCGGAAAAAGATATCAAAAGCCTGGAGCATCGAGTCCAATCAAAAATTTCCCAGATCATGGCTTGCTATTGGCTTGGAATATGATCTAAATGGTGATTTTTTTTTTTTTTTTTTTTTTGGGGGGGGAGGGGCAACGTCAAATCACCTTGAGAATTGATTCGCATTTTGAAAGCGTTTTGACTGACCATAACTGATATGGACTGCATGGACTGTCGCTTCTTGATTACGAGAATTTACGTTAACTGATCTATGCAACCTTTTTTGATCAGGTAATGAAGGACAGCAATTGACACAGCCTGAGATGCAACTGCCTTCGTCTGCCAAGTTTGAAAAGCGAGCAGCAAAACCACCACAGCTGAGTTCATTAATTCTCACGGAATATCGATGCAGAATCTCCGATCTACCTTCGAGTATAATGTCACTCATATCCTTCCCCGCATATATATTTCCTGATCGGATTTTCAGATTCCTGAATTCCTGAGTCCAGCACCTTCATAACGTGTCGACGGCGTCCTCGCTCCTCCGACGAAGATGAAAGCAAGCCGATGGGAGACATTTTTTTTATTTTCTTTATTTTGTGTATTCTTCTTCTGCCTCTTGCTGGATGATTGCGAGACCACCTGCTGTGATCCTCTGCTCTCAACCTGCTGATGATAACTCACCTCCTGTAGACAAGGAAAGTAGGAACTTGGAGAGGATGTACACTGTTTTTCGTTATGAGAATTACTTTTCTGTTAAGTGACATTCCCTATCCATACTGTGAAAAAGATGCTGAGTGAACAATAGAGGAAATAATGAAGGGAATTAGTGGCATATTTGCCCGGAGGTTATATGATCCTATCTTCAGTATTTAATGATACTGATGAAAAGAAAGTAAAGGTAAAGGAAAGTACTGGTCTCGTCAAAATTGTCACAAAAACAGGTGTCTTCACCACAAACAACACGTTCTGTGTGATGTGACCCAGTGGTGAGTCCTAATGCATCATTTTATTTTATGATGAATAGTAAAATACTCTTCCGTGTTGATACTATGGTAAAAAAAACACAATGCCAAAACTAGATTTGCTGAAAGTGAGACTACAGATCTCAAGGTAGGACATAAAAGCTAAATCAATAATGATAATAATAATAATAAGAAGAAGAAGAATAAAAATTATGATGATGATGATAATCAATAAATAAATAGAATACGAATACAAATGCTGAATGTTAGCAATTTTTACTGAGGTAATGAGACAGTACTATGGAAGGCCACAATGCTGAGATTCTGTCAGTCAGTCGTGCCAGTATCCAGGGGATTAAGTTGCCCTATTCTGCAATTCTCTATTCCATGATAATTAACTTGAGAAAATTAATTATTTACCGGATTATCTAAATAATTATCATTTGTAATTTCATCTCCGGCTTCTAAGCTTGGTAGACCCGCTTGGTATATTTCTTGGTCCCGCAAGAATTCCACGTCTTCAAAATACCGCAAATATGGTATATAAATATATCGCCGGCTCCTGATTTTCCGCTGCTAATAACTTTCTTCAGTCCTCGCCAAGAATTTGAGCGTAGGAAATTCATTTTCTTGGTGACCATTTCCCTGTTTTCCATCATGGTTCAATTTCCTTCATTTTTTTTTTTCTTTTTTCATCAGCTCGACGTAATTCTCAGCCTTCGAGGTTTTGTTCGATGAATTCTCGCCAAAATGCTTGCAACTAACACTCGTCGTGGTTGCTCATGGAAGACTGTGCAATAATTAGCACTGTGCAATAATTGGCGCTCACTTGGCATATATTCGCAAGCGTAATTTTGATCGAGAAATATCTGATCGTAAGTAAATTTGGGTCATATTTTTAAATATTTGCTTGGAAACTGTATTAAACGCACAGGACACTCAAAAGAATATATCAGAGACATATATGCAGTCATAATGGCATTACTGAAATACCATTCAAAATATTTATTTTTCATTAACTTGAAACCAAACCAAAACAACAACAACTCAATAATAAAATTAAATTCCACGATATGATAAGGAATAATTAGGAATAACAACATTGTTTTTTTTTCTAAATTATTATTATTATTATTATTTTGGAGTCCCGGGAATAAGAACCATCGCACAAGTCGTCCGTCGAGCATCAGCTGAGAAGCGGACATTTTTAAAAGTCGTTCGTCGTCGGGGGGATTTAAAGGCGGACTTTTAACTATTTAAAGTAAGTTCGTGGATATACATTTATTAATGAGTATTTTGGACTAGTGTAAGGTATTAGGACATAGGAGGAAACAATACAAAGTTAAGTATCTGATTCTACGTTGAAGAAATGTGATTGTTTATGTTTAATCGTAAACATGACGCTAAGATGCTGTAAACAAATAGGCCTGTGCGATGCCTGGGAAGTTTTGTTTCCTCGTATTTCTGTTGTTTCCCGGAATAATGTCATGCGTAGGAGTATTTAAATTGATTAGATTGATAGATATCTTGTTTTACTTTAGGTCTAGGAAGGGACTTTAGTTTTTTTTAAAATAAGTTATCTATCCAATGGGTATCCTAAAGCGCGCCAAATCGTTTTGTTTCAGTTTTCATAATTATCCGAAAAAAGACAAAAAACAAACAGACAAATAAACAAACATAGGTATGAATATCTATTTAACACCAAAAGGATTATTAATCACTTGACGTATTGAGTATTCAGTTATGCAGAGTCTTAGGGCATTAAGAAAAGTAGGAATTGGTGTAAATGCCGAGGGTTTGGTTTCGGGAAGATCATTAATAGTCCTTTGTCTGAGCACCATTTTATTGCTAAGGATTTTAAAAAGGCAGTGATTTTTAAAGTTTGTAAAGCCATACAATCTTGTAATTATTATTTCTTGTTTTAGTTCTTCCATTTCACGTTCTTCTTGTGGAATATGTTCTTTTCCATCACAGGGAAACCAGAGAGTCTTAATGTTTACGAAGTGACTGTACCCATTTAAAACTTAGTCCATACTAATCTGGGCAACCACAGGGTACTTATGGGAATCCACAAATATCACTGCATGAACTCAAGATCCTTCTAAACCATAGGGATTATCCCCGGATCCACACCCAATTGCCATATTTTCACTACTCGGGGTCTGTACCTGGATCCCCACCTGATCGTAGTGGGACTTCCTCTCTGCGTGGCATTCATCGCAGTCTGTTTTCTCAATTTCTGATGTTATTCCTTGTCTGTACAGATTTCAGTGTAGTGTTATCCCACTCATAGTGTGGTCTTTATGTAAATGTATGCCAAAGTATTGTATGTGTTGCACAACAGTCGTATCAACATGTGATATGGCTTTTTGAAACTGAAACTATACAAGAAAGGCAATAACATGGAAGGCAAGTCGGATACTGCATGCAAGACACCTATTTCTCTCTGGCACTGCACCCCTTTCATCTAGGAGGCCATCAAGCTTTCATACCATAAATTTGTAAAAAGCTTTGTCTGTTATTACAGTGCATAACCATAAAAGATATATGGTATAGTAACAGTTTTATACACATGATGGAGGGTGAAAAGACATGGAAACAGAAGATCAAGGAAGTCTAATCAGTTTTTTTCTTTTAAGACACTTATTGCAAATTGAGAATATGAATGCTATATGTTTGTGTGCTTTTCAGAGCTCCTTTATTATTTATTTTTAAAACTGGAAGCATTCCAAGTTCTGTCAGAGCCAGAACATGTTGCTTATTTATATGTATGTGTGCATTTATCAAATATTTATGTCATACTGATGTTTTTATTATTCTTTTAGATTAACAGCATGAAGACCCCAGACAAGGAACCATCATTACAAGCACCCATTTTACCTTGCACATTAATTGCGGAGACCCTTAATGCTGGGGGCACGGTGAAAAAGTCAACTACTTACAAACAGATAAAACTCATCTTGGGTCGAAATGAATTCAGGTAATTGAACAGACTCTTGTGTGACAGTTCATTTTATTTTTGTTCTTGAGGAATTCTAGGCTATGAAAATATAAATTCCTTTGTAAGATTGTTTGCTATGGATATATTTATCTATTTATATAACCCTTTTTTATGTATAAAAAAAAAATATATATATATTCCAGGGACCTGATCCTGCGTATAGATTCCCCAAAACACTCTCTCAAATTTTCACTGAGGGACTTTGTACTCCATAAGCGATTCTTGAAGGAGGGAAAAGCCACCATCAGTCTGAAGGATGCAAACGTAAACTTGATGATAGCAAACGCCCCTCCAAATCAGCTGCTTGTCTTTATGAAGACGCTGGCAGGGAAGCATGCGGCGACTGGTGTGAATGGTGGAGTGGTTAATGCAAGAAAACGTCTCCTGTCAACAGTTCCAAAAAGCTTTGAGGAAATCAGTCCTCTTACTTTTAATGTGAGTAATTGCTTATTTGATCATTAGCTCTTTTACTCTGTTATATGGAGGCTAGGTTTTGTCTGTCTGGCTTATTGGATCAGAATGAATGTAACATTTATCTTTTCTTTTCCTTGCTAGGAGTATGAATCGGTGAGGAAAAATGGAGGCAAAATGCCACTGAAGGAGAGAGCTGCAAATGTCCCAGATGCTTCCCCTGTTTTTAATAAGATGAAATGATTGTTTTTCCTGTTAACTTTCTTCAGGGAGTGCTGGTACTGGCAAAAGTTTTTTGCTGAAGCGCATTGTTGGTGCTCTTCCTCCTGATGTTACTTTTGTGACTGCAAGCACGGGTGTTGCTGCCTGTCAGATTGGGGGAACTACATTGCATGCATTTGCAGGTGAGAATTTTGAAAACATGTATGGGCTTAATTTGGTTTTTATAATGTGTAATTTTTAAGAGGCTTTGGTATAAAAGCAAATATTGTTGAACAAAGTTTTTGTTTATTTGTTATTTTTACTTTTTAACAGTAGACATAGACTGGTTGCAGATTCATTTCTAATGTTTTAGTCAGTGTTAATTTTTCTGAAGGAGAATTAAGACTGCTTTATTCTAAATATCAGTTAATTTTAAAAGTTCATGGTATGGCAATATTTTTACAACAGATATAAACTCATCTTGGGTCGAAATGAATTTCAGGTAATTGAACAGACTCCTTTTGTGACAGTCATTTTTCTTTTTGTTCTTGAGGAATTCTAGGGCTATGAAATATAATTCCTTTGTAATGATTGTTTGCTATGAGATATATTTATCTATTTATATAACCCTTTTTTATGTATAAAAAAAAAAAAAATTATATTCCAGGGACCTGATCCTGCGCATAGATTCCCCAAAACACTCTCTCAAATTTTCACTGAGGGATTTTGTACTCCATAAGCGATTCTTGAAGGAGGGAAAAGCCACCATCAGTCTGAAGGATGCAAACGTAAACTTGATGATAGCAAACGCCCCTCCAAATCAGCTGCTTGTCTTTATGAAGACACTGGCAGGGAAGCATGCGGCGACTGGTGTGAATGGTGGAGTGGTTAATGCAAGAAAACGTCTCCTGTCAACAGTTCCAAAAAGCTTTGAGGAAATCAGTCCTCTTACTTTTAATGTGAGTAATTGCTTATTTGATCATTAGCTCTTTTACTCTGTTATATGGAGGCTAGGTTTTGTCTGTCTGGCTTATTGGATCAGAATGAATGTAACATTTATCTTTTCTTTTCCTTGCTAGGAGTATGAATCGGTGAGGAAAAATGGAGGCAAAATGCCACTGAAGGAGAGAGCTGCAAATGTCCCAGATGCTTCCCCTGTTTCTAGTAAACGTAAAAGGGATTCAAAGGTAATTTCATTTTAAATCATCTTTGAAGTTTGCATTACTAGTTAACCCATTAGTATGCTGCAAGGGCTGTTTTTGGTATTAGTTTTTTTAATTTACATTTCTTTTGGCAATTATACATTAAACATGTATTTAAATTATGCTATTTTAGATTCTATACCAAGTATAGAAATCTTTTCCAATTTTTTATGGTGTATTATATAAAAACTATGTGAATATTTATAAGCACAAAAAGTATTGCAATTCTGTTTATAGTACCTTTAAGCTAGTATGTATTAGATGTTTTATCCTTTTTTTCTTTTTGCAGGACACCTCAGGATCCTCAACACCTAAGGTTCCCCGTTTTCTTAACCCTCTAGTCCTTACATCTGAACAGAAACGTGTGTTGCAAGTTGTACAGTCTGGCCAAAACGTATTTTTTACTGGTAAGAATCATTTGTGTGTGTGCTGGATCTGACTTTTTTTTGCTAATATTTGATGTATGTAAATGTAACCAAGAATGTTTTTTGTTATGCTGTATGTGCATGTTAGGAATCATCTTTACATTTTCAATAGATAATTGAGAGAATAATTGGGAGAATAGTTAGTAAATTACCCTAGTTTGAATATATTCCTCTTTATTTTTTAATAAGATGAAATGATTGTTTTTCCTGTTAACTTTCTTCAGGGAGTGCTGGTACCGGCAAAAGTTTTTTGCTGAAGCGGATTGTTGGTGCTCTTCCTCCTGATGTTACTTTTGTGACTGCAAGCACGGGTGTTGCTGCCTGTCAGATTGGGGGAACTACATTGCATGCATTTGCAGGTGAGAATTTTGAAAACATGTATGGGCTTAATTTGGTTTTTATAATGTGTAATTTTTAAGAGGCTTTGGTATAAAAGCAAATATTGTTGAACAAAGTTTTTGTTTATTTGTTATTTTTACTTTTTAACAGTAGACATAGACTGGTTGCAGATTCATTTCTAATGTTTTAGTCAGTGTTAATTTTTCTGAAGGAGAATTAAGACTGCTTTATTCTAAATATCAGTTAATTTTAAAAGTTCATGGTATGGCAATATTTTGTCATCTCCTTTATTTTAGAATTTTAAAGAATTGTTTAGTTTATTTTTAAAAACTGTCAGAGAGAATATATTGCATGCCTTATAAATGGGTATTGATGAGGTTAGAACTTATTTTAGTGTGTAAATTTTGTAATTTAACCCAATGGCGCCGGGTGTACAAAAGAAAAAAAAACTCTACGCTTAAACAAACAAAGGCGGCGTGCCGACTTTGAGCGCGTGAGTAGGGGACATCAGCCGGAATCACTGGCTCGCCGCACTTTGGCGCGCCGCCGGCTTGTTTGGCTGCACGCCGGCTTTCGAGCTCTGTGTACACGCCGATCGGCGTCACCCGGCACCAAGGGGTTAAATGTCCTGTTAGGTAGGTTGTTCATAGTGGGTTGACAAGGGATCTGCATTTGCTGTTATCAGAAGAGAATATAAACAAGAAATAACTGATATTTTAACTTCATATTAAAAATATATTTACAGGCATAGGCAGTGGCAAAGCTTCTGTTGACCAGTGCATCCAGTTGGCATCAAGAAGAGTCATAGCTCAGCAATGGAAGAAATGTAAACATCTTGTTGTCGACGAAGTGTCAATGGTTGATGGAGATTTTTTCACAGTAAGTATAGAACCCTATTAAATCACACACATGCTCACTAAGACATAAACATTTAGATACACAAACACATCTAAAAGCAAAGTACAAAAGCTTTTGATGTAGAGTTAATTCATCTTAAAAGTATCAGATTGTAGACATTGTAATCACATGCTGATTTGCTATTATACCTTTGTCTATATTATTAATTAATTTAACTTTTCCATTCAACAGAAACTGGAAGCAGTAGGGAGAGCAGTAAGAGGAAATGATAAGCCTTTTGGTGGAATCCAGCTAATTTTGTGTGGGGATTTCTTGCAACTTCCTCCTGTTACTAGGCCTGGGGAGAAACGAGTCTTTTGCTTCCAGACACCTGCTTGGGATCGCTGTATTAACCTTAGCATGGAGCTGACTGATGTGAGGAGACAAGACGACCAAGAGTTTATTGATATACTACAATCTATTCGGCTGGGAAGGTAAGATTCCTTCTTTTTTTTCTTTTTCTTTTTTTTCTTTCTCCTCCTCTTCTTCTTTTTCTTTGCTCTCTTCTTTATTGCATCATAGAGCATTCTGATCATTATATACTAGTAGAGAAAAGGGCTGTGCCTGAATTTTTTTTTACACCCGGTTATTTGCACTTGATACTAAGATTTTTTAGACACTTTTAGGATGTTGTGTATCTGAATTTTATGCCATTATTAGTTCTTTATTCTTTTATTATAGCTTTTAATTACCCTTTGCAGTATTATGAATGCAGTCTATTGCTTTCAACATTAAAGACCAAGATATTCTTCCTCAGGTGTAATGAAGAAATGGTGGAGCGCTTAAAACAAACAGAGAAGAACACTGTAGAAAGGGATGGTATTAAGGCTACTAGGCTATGTACTCATCGCGAAGATGTGAATCACATTAATCAAGAACATCTAAAAAAATTAGCAGGTATATATTGAGTATAGTTATGCTTACATGTATATAAATGTATATATTTTTCTTCATTTATATATATAATCATCACGAGAAATTGAACCAAGGAATGAAATGTGAAGGAATGCTTAACATAAAACTAGTGGATGTTGGTGTGACAGTCTTGTTACATTCACAGTTTGACATTTCATGAATTTCTTTTTAAAATGTTGCAGGTGATACTCAGGTTTTCAGGCTGTTGACAGTGATCCTGGTCTGTCATCTTTACTTGATTCTCAAACCCCTGTTGTAGCTAAGTTAACCCTCAAAGTTGGTGCTCAAGTCATGTTGATGAAGAATCTCGACGTTGGCCAAGGCTTGGTCAATGGTGCAAGAGGTGTTGTTACAGGCTTCAAGATGGGTAAGAAGGTGAGTCATTCATTCTCTGGTTGTTTTAACTTCTAATGTTTTTGTTAGATTCTTTTTTTTTCTTTCTCTTCTTCTTCTTTTCCTTTGCTCTCTTCTTTATTGCATCATAGAGCATTCTGATCATTATATACTAGTAGAGAAAAGGGCTGTGCCTGAATTTTTTTTACACCCGGTTATTTGCACTTGATACTAAGATTTTTTAGATACTTTTAGGATGTTGTGTATCTGAATTTTATGCCATTATTAGTTCTTTATTCTTTTATTATAGCTTTTAATTACCCTTTGCAGTATTATGAATGCAGTCTATTGCTTTCAACATTAAAGACCAAGATATTCTTCCTCAGGTGTAATGAAGAAATGGTGGAGCGCTTAAAACAAACAGAGAAGAACACTGTAGAAAGGGATGGTATTAAGGCTACTAGGCTATGTACTCATCGCGAAGATGTGAATCACATTAATCAAGAACATCTAAAAAAATTAGCAGGTATATATTGAGTATAGTTATGCTTACATGTATATAAATGTATATATTTTTCTTCATTTATATATATAATCATCACGAGAAATTGAACCAAGGAATGAAATGTGAAGGAATGCTTAACATAAAACTAGTGGATGTTGGTGTGACAGTCTTGTTACATTCACAGTTTGACATTTCATGAATTTCTTTTTAAAATGTTGCAGGTGATACTCAGGTTTTCCAGGCTGTTGACAGTGATCCTGGTCTGTCATCTTTACTTGATTCTCAAACCCCTGTTGTAGCTAAGTTAACCCTCAAAGTTGGTGCTCAAGTCATGTTGATGAAGAATCTCGACGTTGGCCAAGGCTTGGTCAATGGTGCAAGAGGTGTTGTTACAGGCTTCAAGATGGGTAAAGAAGGTGAGTCATTCATTCTCTGGTAGTTTTAACTTCTAATGTTTTTGTTAGAATTGTCATCATACTTTTCCTATTGAGGTATGATGATTATTGATGATTATTAATGTTATTATTAATTAATATTTTTGGAATTGATTAGTATAGACATATATTTTGAGTTAACATTGCAATAACCTATGATTTTAGAAAACATAAGAGAAGAAATTGATAATTTCTATTAGTAGGCCCTAGTTACTGTGCATGATTTCCCCTTTTCATGAATTTGTGGAAATTTATTTCTTTCTTTCTTTCTTTCTTTCTAATACTATGAACATTGATCTGATGTCTAGCACATTTATTTGTTTAAACTAATAACCATTAGCCAGCATTAACATCAATACTGTTATTATTACTAGTGATATTATGACTATTGAAATACCAATAATAAAAATAATAAAATAAGGAAAGGATTGAGAAGTGAGTGGAGTCAGTGTTGGTTCATTTGCAGTTCAAATTCTCATGTCACAATATTTACAACTTCCATTATTTGTTTTTTCTGCTTGCTTGGTCCTTTTTTTTTTGGTTCATTTGTAATGTACTTTTTTTCTTTTTTCCTCTTTTCATTGTAGTTTATGAGATCCATTCTCTTTACTGTACAATATGTTCTTTAAGAATGTTTTTCTTTTCTTTTTCCCACCTACCAGCTGATTTTTAAAAAAGTTTGTGTTGTATACATTCCTGTGGAACAGTTTGGACAACTCACATAATTTTGTTTTTGTATATTTTTCAGGGAACCCTGTTGTAAGATTTTTATGTGGTGTCACAACAGAAATCAAGCATGAGAAATGGACAGTCAAAGGCTCAGGTGGTATTTATCTACACAGAAGACAACTCCCTTTGAAGTTGGCGTGGGCTTTCTCTATTCACAAATCACAGGTGTGTATTTTTATAGAGGGCACAGTGCCTTTATTGATTTTTTTTTTTGCATTATCTATGACATATAAAGAGTTTCAGATTTTGCAAGATATAGTTTGTATTATATGGGACTAATGCAGGATGTATGACTATTATATTGAATCTTGTGTTAGTATTTGCATGGAATTATTTGGGCAAATTTGGGTAATAACACTCTAGTACCTCTAGTATTCATTGTCCATTGTGGTTTTATTTTATTAATTTTGTTACATAGAACTGGTTTCATAAGGACCTAGTTAACAAGGACTTCATTACCAGACTACCTCATCTTACCTATTTACCCCATTCCTTGATTATTCTTCTTTTTTACTATTATCAATATTAACATTATTTTTAGTAATGATGATGATCATCATATTCATCGTTTTCATCTTTATCATATTCATCAATATTATTATTATATGTTATTAACAACAATAATGATAATGAAAATAAAAACCATCTTCAAAAAATCAAGGAAAGGGTAAATGGGCATTTAGTCCTTATGATTCTTTCAGAGCCATCTGTGTTATAACAGAATTGATAAAACAAAACCACAGTGTACAATGTATGTATATATGCCATCCCATTGTCAACAGGGCAAAAAATATATATAAACAAAAAATAGAAAAAAAAAAAATCTAGTATGTTCCACTGAGATTGTGAGAGGCTGGATGAGAATCTGGGGAAAAAAATGTAAGGCAAAGAATTAAGAGTTTATAACTTGCTTTCCAGGGAATGACTCTAGACTGTGCAGAAATGTCTCTCTCAAGGGTATTTGAAGCGGGTCAAGCCTATGTTGCCCTGTCACGCGCAAGAAACTTGACGAGCATCCGTGTGCTGGACTTTGGACCAGAATGTGTACGCGCTCATCCTGATGTCCTCAAATTCTACCAGGGTCTAAGAAGAGCCCGTTATGAGGAACAGCAATCCATAATGCAATATCTTTAGGATTAATTTTATTTTTAGAAGGATTTTATTGTAATTGATATATAATTAATATATTAACACTCTCCTATCCAGTGTCACACTCTGATCCACCCCTATGTTCTGTATGTAATGTCCCTCTTTCAGTACCACACATTCTATTATCCTGTCTACTTTGATGCAGCCTGTACCTCTGTTTTCCCTCCCTCCCTATCCTCCCTTCACTGACCTCCCAACGTATCAGATAGCCTTACAGAATCTCACTCTTTCTGCTTGGATAACTTTGTTCTCCTTTACTTGATCTAACCCCTTTAACCCCTTGCCGCCGGGTGACGGCGATACGCGTGTAAACAAATCGCTCGAAAGGTGGCGTGCGGCCAAACCAGCCGGCGGCGAGCCAGTGATTCGGGCTGACGCCCCGTACTCCGGCGCTCAAAGTCGGCGCGCCGCCTTTGTTTGCCAGAGCGTAGAGTTTTTTTTTCCTTTTGTACACCCGGCGTCATTGGGTTAACTAACCCGATCTTAACCCATTCACTTGTCAACTCCTTTGCCCAAGTTTAGCAACTAACCACTAACTCAACCACCCTTCACTATCCTTTACTATACCTTCCTGTAGTGCTACATGACCTTAGATGTCTAGCACATTTATTTTGGTTTTAAACATTAACCATTAACCATTAATATATTACAGGTATTCAACCTCAGGTTTTCTTATGGAACTGTCTTTCTTTCGTGTGCATGTTTAAGTATTTGATGAGTCCCAAAGTGGAATGAAACCTTGTTTTATAAAATTGTGCATGCAATTTAGGGCATGATGTGGAAGTGATAGATCTGAGAGAAATATATGGCATTAATGCATATATTGTAAACACATGTTACAATATTGTGTGAACAAAGATGAAATGAAAGAGACAAGAGGAGAATGGAACAATAAACTAGGAAGTTGATCATGGTTTACCGTGATTGCTCCTTCTGTTTTATGACTGTATACTGCACATTGCATTAATTTATGTATTTTATTTAAAGAAAAAAAATTTAAACACTGTTTTTCTGTATCATTAACCTTTCAGCCTTTTGATTATATACTTCTGATATGAAATGATGATCTAATCCATAACACTACTATCTTTTATACATTATATATATATATTTCACAAAGAATTTACAGTTACAGAAGCATAAACACATTAGCCTACTGAAGCTGTGATAGGAAAGTATATATACTGTACTTATGTCCAATATGGTTTTGTTTTAATTTGACTTTGCACATATTGCTGAATCAGCACTTGGTCACCTAGACATAAATTGCATTGTCTAGAATTGTTAATTTTTATGAATAATAATGGAAAAAATGATGAGAGTTGTAGAATTAAAATAAATATGTATCCTCTAAGATTCAGGGTAAGATCTAGTACCTCTAGTAACTGACTTTTCCCCACCAATCCCTTGCTCATTGTTGTCACAGGGACTGAGGCCCTTGCCTCAGCTAATCTTGCATGGTCTTTTCTTCTCCTTTCCTTTTCCTTTTCTTCATCCCCTTGTTCTGTCCACTTATCGTAATCATCAACTCATTTTTGCATAATACTTTATCACAATGCTCCCCCCTCCCTGAACTCCATCCCTTTTTAACAACCTTTACTTTATGCTATACACCATCAGACCCCCTTAACACTTCCTTATCTTTGGGCTTTGTCCCCAAGCCTCATGCTATCGCTATATTTTGAATCTGCCGCTAACAAAATATGTTGACGTGGCAGAAAATTTTCAATAAATAAACAATAACTGATTCTTAATGACAAAGCATTTTTGTGGATATCTATGTGTAAACATTTTTGACATGGATTGTGTATGTAACATGTTTGTGGAATTCATGCTGTCTTAGTATTAATAGGTTAATATGTATGTGCTCACCCCCAACCCCTCGCTCGATTTTGCTGTGGGAGGGCTTAGGTTGTGGAGACTGAGGCCCAATGTAGGGGATCACCCCTACCTTTTCGTCTCTTACTTTCCCTTTCCTTCTCTTCTTTATTCCTTCTCCTGTCCACATATCCTAATCATTAACTCATTTTTACCCTCTTTGCCACAATACTTTGTTGTAATGCTGTGTGACCTTTGTCTGACATATTTGTTTATTTTGACCACTGACCATTCTGGAAATCCTCAAACATTGCCTTGCGAACCAAAAATCTTCTTAGCAAGGGGTTTCGCCCCCTAAGCCCCACTGTGTTACTATATTTTGAATATACCACTAATGCCCTTAGATGTTGACATACCAGAAAATGTTAAATATGTATGTGCTGTAAATATAAATGTGTGAAATAATCTTGTATGCCATGGAAAAGAAGGTAGTTTTATGGAGTATATCATTACAATACATTATGGACAGTGCATGTGCCTGTTACCATTGGTAATCTGTGCAAATACATCACATTTAAGTCTATGAACCAAGAGTTGCTAAAGCCAAATTGGAATTGTCATAAAAATAATTCCAATACATTTTTAGTTTTATGAAAGGCATAATTGAACTTCAAGACACTAACAGTTAAAAAATACACAACATATGACATGGAAATCTTAACAGAATAAGCCACAACTTCGGTGTATTAGAATCAAAAGATCTCAAAAGCAGCCAGTGAGTGTGTACTGAGAACTGAAGCCAGTAAGAGCTCTCTTGAATTAAACATGATGTAATGTTAGTATCCATCCATTAACAAAATAAGTTAGGTCCCAAACTGGTTTCTGTGGAAGCAGACACTTGTATTTTTATCTTTTACATATCAGCACATGTTTACACATCAATGCATCTGTGAATTGCACTTAGAGAAAACAATTAAAATTGCATATGGAGTGTAACAGAAATGACAAAAATGTAAACTTTACTCAGGGAGCAATACAGGCAATTCTTTAAAATATCAGAATCAACACAAATAAAAAACTAGGTTCTGTTTGTAATAAAAACAAACTATGCAGACATCTCTTGTAAGTTCAAATGTTTGGCATGCTTCTTTTTAAATATCAACTGTACTGCATCTTAGGTAATCATATTTTACAAATGACTTTTAGACCTATATCTTATATACAATATGTACCAAATTATAGCACATTAATTGACACAATATTAATGTTATGCATTATTTTGTCAGCCATACTGGGGTTAACAAAATCATTATTTCATTAAATTTTTGTTTTTGTTTTTGGTAACAGAATAACTTAAAACAAGCCTGTTATATGTAACAATCTTTCACGAATGGGTATAACTTGAATATAATTGAATAACTGGCAGATATGCTCAAGAAGTGATGCAGTCTGCCAAACTATTGCTAACAAGTGATTCCACTCACAAATCAGTTAAGCTAGTGGTTTGCCCACCCATGATATCACTTCACAGGCATGCCCACTGATCAGGCTTAGTCATCTTGACAGGCCTTGAAAATATATACCTGGCTTTTTAAAGTGAATATAAAGGATCATTTTCTATGATGCAGAAAAATCTATAACTTTATATAAATACTTACCTCAATAAATTATGGAGTAATATATTCACTACTTTATTAAACCAGTTTGTCTGGGTTAGACTTTTCAGCCCACTTTAAATCAGTCATATATTTATTTTACTTCAAAAGTTTTAAAATGAAAGTTATATATGGCTATCTAATATATATCACTGAGCCTTTTAAGACCCTTTCCCTCAATATCCTTGTTGCATTTCTTGCACCTGCCCTTGAAACGTTTACCTTTGAGTATCCCCTTAAAATAAAACCAGAGAGGATCCTGCCTCCCTTCTCTAGCCGCAATTCTTCTATTTAGCACTATGTATATGGTATGAGATTATCATAATACTATAAGAAAACACTTCACATGCCATATAATACTGCCATCAATAATTTATGGTTGAAAAGTACTGAGTCTGCCTAATATTTAAATCTTGAGCTGTTGCTGCTTTACACAATCTGATCATAGGTGGTACACTTGGGAGACTGTTTTACTACATTATCAACTTTTTTGCAATAACAGTGAAGGAATAATTTTAGTTTTATGAAAGGCATAATTGAACTTCAAGACACTAACAGTTAAAAAATACACAACATATGACATGGAAATCTTAACAGAATAAGCCACAACTTCGGTGTATTAGAATCAAAAGATCTCAAAAGCAGCCAGTGAGTGTGTACTGAGAACTGAAGCCAGTAAGAGCTCTCTTGAATTAAACATGATGTAATGTTAGTATCCATCCATTAACAAAATAAGTTAGGTCCCAAACTGGTTTCTGTGGAAGCAGACACTTGTATTTTTATCTTTTACATATCAGCACATGTTTACACATCAATGCATCTGTGAATTGCACTTAGAGAAAACAATTAAAATTGCATATGGAGTGTAACAGAAATGACAAAAATGTAAACTTTACTCAGGGAGCAATACAGGCAATTCTTTAAAATATCAGAATCAACACAAATAAAAAACTAGGCTCTGTTTGTAATAAAAAACAAACTATGCAGACATCTCTTGTAAGTTCAAATGTTTGGCATGCTTCTTTTTAAATATCAACTGTACTGCATCTTAGGTAATCATATTTTACAAATGACTTTTAGACCTATATCTTATATACAATATGTACCAAATTATAGCACATTAATTGACACAATATTAATGTTATGCATTATTTTGTCAGCCATACTGGGGTTAACAAAATCATTATTTCATTAAATTTTTGTTTTTGTTTTTGGTAACAGAATAACTTAAAACAAGCCTGTTATATGTAACAATCTTTCACGAATGGGTATAACTTGAATATAATTGAATAACTGGCAGATATGCTCAAGAAGTGATGCAGTCTGCCAAACTATTGCTAACAAGTGATTCCACTCACAAATCAGTTAAGCTAGTGGTTTGCCCACCCATGATATCACTTCACAGGCATGCCCACTGATCAGGCTTAGTCATCTTGACAGGCCTTGAAAATATATACCTGGCTTTTTAAAGTGAATATAAAGGATCATTTTCTATGATGCAGAAAAATCTATAACTTTATATAAATACTTACCTCAATAAATTATGGAGTAATATATTCACTACTTTATTAAACCAGTTTGTCTGGGTTAGACTTTTCAGCCCACTTTAAATCAGTCATATATTTATTTTACTTCAAAAGTTTTAAAATGAAAGTTATATATGGCTATCTAATATATATCACTGAGCCTTTTAAGACCCTTTCCCTCAATAGCCTTGTTGCATTTCTTGCACCTGCCCTTGAAACGTTTACCTTTGAGTATCCCCTTAAAATAAAACCAGAGAGGATCCTGCCTCCCTTCTCTAGCCGCAATTCTTCTATTTAGCACTATGTATATGGTATGAGATTATCATAATACTATAAGAAAACACTTCACATGCCATATAATACTGCCATCAATAATTTATGGTTGAAAAGTACTGAGTCTGCCTAATATTTAAATCTTGAGCTGTTGCTGCTTTACACAATCTGATCATAGGTGGTACACTTGGGAGACTGTTTTACTACATTATCAACTTTTTTGCAATAACAGTGAAGGAATAATTTTGGGTTTAATAACTAAATTTTCAGTCCCCATTTTACTGTGTTTAGTAATATTTTAAAGAGTAAGATCCTATTATGTGGGCCTAGCAACTCCTGCAAGGAAAGAGCTAGGAGTAGTGATGCAGTTCGATCAAGCTGCTGATCATAACAGAGAAACTTAAATGAAGTTATGGAATTATAGTGCATTCAATCTGGATATAAAGGAGGCAGAATTAAAGTCATTAGATATACTTTTATGTAAAGGTTAGTATGAGAGTATCAGCTTAACTCAATGATGCTGGGAATAAGCTGTGCTTATTTTAATTTTTTTTATATATATATCTATGCATGTACTTAGCCACAAAGGAGCCATTTAGTAGTCCTTATGACCTGATATCACCTTTCTTCGAATTTGTGGGAAAAATATTTTTTTTATTACTGCTGTCAATATCAATGGTGTGATTTTTAATATAGATATTATAATTACTATAATATTATTGATATTAGTAACAGCAATATAAGATACCATAGAATTTTGTTGAAAAGTAAGGAAAAAGGTAAACAGGTGAGACAGGTAGTACTCGTAATTGGCTCATTGGCGACTTAGTACAAGTGGACCCATCTACGCATAAAAACAATTAATAAAGTATTCACAGTGAGCACGGCATGTACCAAAGCCTTTTGGCTTTGAGTTAAAGGTTTGAGATCAAGCAAGGAAAAGCGCTTTGATAACATGTTTGTCTATAGCACAAACAAAAGGGGGGTGTGGCTTCCTATATATCCAGACTGAACTGATTGTATGGGTTTGTATGTTTGTGTATTTTTCAACAGTATATATATATATATGGTACTGGAGAACTTAAACTGTTGATTCTAGCACTTGACTGGGTATGTTTACAGTATAACATGATTATGAGTTGATGTATATTTACTTTGACTAAACATATCTATACCTACACACACTATCATCTACCCATACATAAGCCACACACACTAACAAACACACGTACACCCATCACACCTACAGAAAACTGTATACTTATTCTCAATCCAAATGATATATATAATGTATTTCAGTTTAAAAGCTTGTTCATTTAAAAAAAATTTTTTTTTGCTTTGATTTAAATAGATACATTGCATGATTTAACTAATATGGTTTCAATCATGCTAACTCTGATGTAAATAAAATGAAAATACATTTCAACACTCTGAAGTAATGTTTCTCACAGATTATAAATAAATTATGGCTGTTTTTGCACAAGACTTATTTTGACTATATAGAATAAAGTTCCAGGATCATTTTCTTCCTTGCTGTGTGAAAAATTTATACAAAATACATACCTTTGTCATATTACAGAGTAATACATTCACTGCATTTATAAATTAGTAGTTACTTTTCTCACAGCCTAGATATACAGTAACTTCCCAACTTAAGAACATAATGGGGACCGAGAGGCTGTTTGTAAGTTGATTTATTTGTATGTTGAAAGTCGGGTCTCCATTACCTTTTCCCCCATAGTTTTAAAGTTTTGTTTACATTAAGAATACCTGTAAATAAATCCCAATTAAGTATGACATACCTTATACAGTACCAGACTCTTGAACTATATTCGTGCACAGGAAATTTGAAGTTTGCTAGCATCTTTCAAACAATTTTTTGCACTTTAGTACTTAAAAAATTTTGTTTGTATGTATGGAATGTTTATAAGTAGAATGTTCTTAAGTAGGGGACTACCTGTATATGTCCATTTTTAAGTCCTTGCTCATTTTGTGGTTATGTCAAACCCTTCAATTTTGTTTTTTTTACAAACCCTTATTCTTATAAATAGCTTATGCTTGATTTTATTTTGAGTTCATATTAAAGCCATGAACACTAATTTCTTCAAGCACTGAATTCCTGTTTTGCAAAAATTAATGCAACTCTTACAACTTTCATTCTTTAGAAGATAACTAAATCTTGCACTAGTATCTGAGTATTTCATACTATCCCTTTAATATTGCTATCTATTTATCACCTTTAACTACAAAATTATTTTATAAGAACATTTTTTACAATTTCTGAGAGACAGCTGCAAATCAAAAGTATCTGTAATATCAATTATGTAAACTAAGCTTCCTTAGTCCTTGAATTTTGTGCATAAAATTGTCATGTATATTTCACATCTCGTTTTAGGCAGGCAGTAAAAAAATCTTGAAAAGAAAACATGCCTTGCTTTTCAAGCAAGAACTCACACGAAAGGTTCATACTCTGTGATTTGATTAATCCAACTATATCACACCATATTCTTAGTAATTTTATATTTCACAATGATGATAGTATAGCAATGACATTTGTTTCTTCTATATTAAACTATAAAGTATTTAAAGTGATTTTACCTTTTACATATACTTGTGTAATACTATCAAGGCTAAACTGCCTGTTAATAGTTGCATACATATAAAAAAATATAATGTTCATATTTAAATGGATACTTACATATATTTCTAATACTTTCTACATCAATACCTTACTGAGACCTCTTTGGCACTGTATAATTTCATCTGGTTTACTAAAACACACACAGATATACACAGGCACATACAGAAACAGAAACAGAAACAGAAACACACACACACACACACACACACACACACACACACACACACACACACACACACACACACACACACACACACACACACACACACACACACACACACACAAATCAAAAGGAAAAAAATAGAGAAAAAGAAAAAAGAATACATAGTGCCACAGAACAGCTTTCTCATATGGTAATATACCATTATACCAATTGCCATCCAACCCTCATAATTTCTTTCTTAATTTCCAAGAATATTTTCTGTCCCCCCCCCTCCCCTTTTCTTAGAGTGGATACCAAAATAGAATATATATTACATTTGCGATTTACAAATCATCATTGCACAAGGCCATGACTATATTTAGTTATCTTTGACTAACTAGTGGGTGTGTTAATAGGAAACAGTCATGGTGGATACGTATATTTTGTAACTTATACACTACTTCCTTTCCCTCAAAATGAGTCAGATGTATAAATATCTGTTAATATCTTTAGCAATAAAATTATGCATTGGTATACTTTAATGCATTTTAAAACTTTCCAAATTAATTTCTATATATATATCAGTTAACAGTAATGAATTTCAAGCAAAGAAGGAAGTATCACCCTATGTACACATGCATAATTTTTTTTTCTTTTTCTTTTTTTTTCTGACTCAGACTTGCATAGCAGAAATTACATGTAGATTTTACAATACAATGAAAATTTCAGTTCGGATATCTAAATCACACTTGGAAAAGAACTGAAAAAGCAAATAGTTCAAAGATATTTTTTGTTTTGTCTTTCACACTTTCCTGTCACAAAGAACCTTCATACTTTGAAAGTACTGAGGGAAAGATTAATGAAGAAGTTCATTGTGAAGATAGCATTGCATTGCTGTCAAAGATAATGCACATAAGAACCTGGGGAATGATTTATGATTTAACAATTTTGAAGAAAGAGAGACATGGTGTATGTGTTACTGAATAAGGACAAAGTTGTGGTTCACCTGAGAAAAATTTTGACCCAAATAATTTTCACATACAGGAGGCTCTGCCCTCTGTTAATAAATATGCATGTTGTATGCATTATAAAATGTATATTTTAGATGTCACATCTAACGAAGTAAGGGTATTCAATATTGTTTCAATGAGATTGGCTGTACTTTAATAATAAAGTAAGTCACATTATGTTCAGAATATAGAGTCCATTTTAATAATACTTATCATAATAATAAAAAATGAAAAAACTCAATTAAAGTAATTCCTAATTGTTTTCATTCTTGGGGATTCATGAACTTTAATTTCTTTAGACCTGGACTAAAATTTCTTCCACTATTCTGACCACCTTCTCCTCTCCTGTCATCATAAGAACCTCTACCTCTGTTGCTGAAATCCCCTCTGCCCCTCCCTCTGAAATCACCTCTACCCCTGCCTCTGAAACTCCCTCTGAAATCACCTCTACCCCTGCCTCTGAAATCCCCCTGGCCTCTGTTGCTGAAATCCCCTCTGCCCCTCCCTCTGAAATCACCTCTACCCCTGCCTCTGAAATCCCCCTGGCCTCTGTTGCTGAAATCCCCTCTGCCCCTCCCTCTGAAATCACCTCTACCCCTGCCTCTGAAATCCCCCTGGCCTCTGTTGCTGAAATCCCCTCTGCCCCTCCCTCTGAAATCACCTCTACCCCTGCCTCTGAAATCCCCCTGGCCTCTGTTGCTGAAATCCCCTCTGCCCCTCCCTCTGAAATCACCTCTACCCCTGCCTCTGAAATCCCCCTGGCCTCTGTTGCTGAAATCCCCTCTGCCCCTCCCTCTGAAATCACCTCTACCCCTGCCTCTGAAATCCCCCTGGCCTCTGTTGCTGAAATCCCCTCTGCCCCTCCCTCTGAAATCACCTCTACCCCTGCCTCTGAAATCCCCCTGGCCTCTGTTGCTGAAATCCCCTCTGCCCCTCCCTCTAGCAATAAAATTATGCATTGGTATACTTTAATGCATTTTAAAACTTTCCAAATTAATTTCTATATATATATCAGTTAACAGTAATGAATTTCAAGCAAAGAAGGAAGTATCACCCTATGTACACATGCATAATTTTTTTTTCTTTTTCTTTTTTTTCTGACTCAGACTTGCATAGCAGAAATTACATGTAGATTTTACAATACAATGAAAATTTCAGTTCGGATATCTAAATCACACTTGGAAAAGAACTGAAAAAGCAAATAGTTCAAAGATATTTTTTGTTTTGTCTTTCACACTTTCCTGTCACAAAGAACCTTCATACTTTGAAAGTACTGAGGGAAAGATTAATGAAGAAGTTCATTGTGAAGATAGCATTGCATTGCTGTCAAAGATAATGCACATAAGAACCTGGGGAATGATTTATGATTTAACAATTTTGAAGAAAGAGAGACATGGTGTATGTGTTACTGAATAAGGACAAAGTTGTGGTTCACCTGAGAAAAATTTTGACCCAAATAATTTTCACATACAGGAGGCTCTGCCCTCTGTTAATAAATATGCATGTTGTATGCATTATAAAATGTATATTTTAGATGTCACATCTAACGAAGTAAGGGTATTCAATATTGTTTC